GCATGTCGGAGGAGAGATGGTTGCAACTGGACAACCAATAATGGCATGTCGCCCGGAGGGGCTATCAGCAACGCGGGTACACCGCGGCAACAGCAACCACAGCAGCAGCAGCAGCAGTATCCACAACAGCAGCAAGCAATACAACAGCCCCCGTCTGCCGCGTCCCCGTCGTTTGGCGCCCAAGGAGGGGCGGCAGGAAACGTGCCGCCGCCGACGGCTGCCATGCCGTCGCCGGCCGGGGGGGCGGCCGCTTCCCCGTCCCCAAGTGGTTGGCCGTCGCAGGGACAGCAGGGTCAACAGCAGCAGCAGCAGCAGCAGGGTTTCGCACAGATGACAGGAGGGTTTCCGGCTAACGGGGCCCAAGGCTCGATGCCCGGCACTCCTGTGCAACAGCAACAGCAGCAACCACAGCAACAGCAACCGAGCGGTGGAGGGTTTTTCCCTGCTGCTCCGGGCGTTCAAGGTGCGTCGAAATGTGTGTTTGTGTGTGTGCGTGTGTGAAGTCTTAGCACCGGCGGATGCGCATGCATGAATTGGTTTGGAGGATGCCCGTGTTGCGCATCTTCTCCACCACAGCAACAGCAGGTAAGAAGCAGCTAGTCCCACCCCTCCGCATGAATCTCACGACCGAGTCATCCTTTGCCGCTCATGCACTGGGTTTCGGCAGGCGGACCCCAGGCGGCAGGAGGCCCCGGGAGCGGTTTCGTTGCCTCATTCGACGCTCTGTCCGTCTCCTCGCCGGCGACTGGGGCAAGCTCGGCTCAACAGCAGGGTTTCCCTGGGGCACACCAGGGCCACCAGCGGACAAACTCTCAGCCGCAGCAGCAGCAGCAGCAGCAGCAACAACAGCCGCCGCAGCAGCAGCAGGGTGGCGCGTTCTTCCAGCAGGGTGCGCGGCCGCAGCCGTCCCCGCAGCAGCAGCAGCAGCAGCAGCAGCAGTTTGTGCAGCAGCGTGGCATGTTCGGTGCCCAGCAACCGCAGCAGCAGCAACCGCAGCAGCAGCAACCCCAACAGCAGCAGGTGCGACACCATTGCTGTTTTTTTGCTTGTGCGAGCAAAGACATGGAGGGATGTCCCCGTACTCTTTTCAAGAGTTCTTGTGTAGGATTACTTTGGCGCGAGGCGTTGGCTCGGCGCTGAAAACGAATTGTGCGGGCAGTTGCCACCGGCTGCAAAGCAGCAGCACATCTCCAAGGCTAGTGATATGTTTCGACAAGATACGACATCCCTGTTGTATGCAGAAGCCATCTTACCCTTTTCGGATCCCATCGCCTATATGTGCCGTTTGTTGCTGAACCAAACAACAGGCGGGCTTTGCCGCTTTCGGACAACAAGCCCCGCAACAACAGCAGTTTAACCCGCAGCAGCAGCAGCAGCAGCCGTTCGGTGGCGCCAACTTTTCCAACGCCCCCCAGCAGCAACAAAACCAGTTCCACCCGCAGCAGCAGCAGCAGCAGCAGCAGCAGCAGTACCCCCCCCCCCAGCAGCAGCAGTTCCAAGCCCCGGGGGGTATGCGGCAACCAGGGCCACAGCAACAACAACAGTTTCCTCAACAGCAGCAATACACCCCCCAGCAGATGCAGCAGATGCAGCAGATGCAAATGCAGCAGCAGCAGCAGGGCGCAGGGGCGGCCCCGGTTGCGCCACAAGCGGCCCCGGCGGTGGACGATGACCCGTTCGCCGAGCTCGCGGCGGGGGGGGGCGGCGCCGGCGCCGGCGGTGCGGGCAGAAGAGAACCGGACGGCGAGGAGGTATGAAAAGGAGAGGATGATGACGGAAGGAGTGTT